GAGGGGCCTTAAGGCCCACAGAGTCACAGATCAAAACCACAAGTGAATCATTCTCATATTTTCTAGAAAGAACAAAAGCAAGAGGTTCCAGGACCACCCAGTGGTTAAAACCATGGGCTTCAGGGACCACAGATCTGGGTTCAAGTCTCAGATCTGACACTTCAAACCTATGAGATCTTGACAAGTGACACAGCCTCTCAGAGCTTCAATGGAAACATACAATGTACAATTTCACCCATAAATGAGGTCTGAGAATGTAAAACAGTGAAGCCATTTTGCCACAGTTTGGCAGTTTCTTAAAAGTTAAGAAACTTAACTTTGAGATAGATTTACCCTCTGACCCAGTAATTCCATTCTTAGGTTACCACCCAAGAGAAATGAAAACAAATGTCCCCAAAAGGACTTGCATACAAATGTTTTTAGCAGCATTATTCATCAAAACCCCAAATGGAAACCATCTAAATGTTCAGCATCTGGTGAATGGATTACCAGTGGCACATCAATACTGCAGAATGGATCTCCCTGGTGGTCCAGTGGTTAAGAACCCACCGCCAATGCAGGGAACATGGGTTTAATTCCTGGTCTGGGAAGACCCCACATGCCATGGAGCAACCAAGCCCGTGTGCCCTGACTTCTGAGCCCAGGCACCTAGAGCCCAGGCAGCACTGCAACAAAGAGTAGCCCCCATTCACCACAACTAGAGAGAGCCCGTGTGCATCAGGGAAGCCAAAAATAAACAAATAAATAAGTGAAAGTGAAAGTGATTCAGCTGTGTCCAACTCTCTGCAACTCCATGGACTGCAGCCTGCCAGGCTCCTCTGTCCATGAATTCTCCAGACAAGAACACTGGAGTGAGTAGCCATTCCCTCCTCCAGGGGATCTTCCCAAACCAGGGATCAAACCCAGGTCTCCCGCATTGCAGGCAGATCCTTTACCGGTTGAGCTACCAGGGAAGCCCAAATAAAAACATAAATAGAAGAATGTGTAAGTGTAGAATAGTGTATAATGCAAGGTAGCAATTTACATCATATGTACTTCTCATTTAAATTTCAAAAACTGAAGAATAGTTGATTCACACTGTTGTGTTAGTTTCTCTTATACAGCATAGTGATTCACTTATACATATACATTTTTTCATATTCTCTTCCATTACAGTTTACTATGCTATATAGTAGGACCTTGTTCTTTATCTATTTTATATATAGTAGCTTGTATCTGCTAATTCCAAACTCCTAATTTATCTCTCCCCCTCCCCTTTCCCCCTGGTAATCACATGTTTGTTTTCTATGTCTGTGAATCTGTTTCTGTTTTGTAAATTAGTTCATTTGTGTCATATTTTAGATTCCACATTTAAGTGATATAAACTGTATATCCATGATAAACACTTCTTACCATACCACCCCCACACATGTCAACCCAATGTAACAGGGTTAGCAGGCACACTACATCATCCTCATTTTTACAGATGGGGAGCTGAGGCACCAAGAAGTTAATGAACTTTCCCTGGTTGCTTAGCTAGTAGGCAGCAGAGCTGAGAGGAGGAATCCTGGATAACTAACTTCAAAGACTATGCTTCTCACCTCTCAGTAAATGTCAGCTGGGTATGGAGTTACTGCTCTACCAAGTGATGGGGGAAAAGGTCCAGACAAGGATCAGAGACAGCTCCCCAAGAAGGTCACGCAGGAACCCAAACCTGAAGGGTGTAGGAGTTAGTTAGGGGAAGAATGTTCTAGACAGAAGGAACCACATATGCCAAGGTGGAAAGGTAAGAGAATGCAGGGCGTGGGGCAGAAGCCAGAGAGCTGGAGGCGGCTGGAGCGTGAACTGATACCCAGTAGTGGGAAGCTGAGAATGGGGCTCAGGAGGCCACAGAGCATCCCTGGTGTCTGGACATTAACCTGCAGGCGATGCAGGGCTAGACAAAGAAAGTCAGTGAGTTCCTCAGCACTGCCTTACTCCAGGAATGACTCACATCACCCTGGCAGGTGGAGGAGGTTGACTCAACCCCTGCTGCGAGCTCAATGGGAGCGGGGGAGCTGCCACCCCACACTCCCATCCCACTGGGAGCTAATGCCCCAGCAGCCGCCCCACCGGCAGCCCCACCAGCACACAGAAGCTATCCCAGTCAGCTGGGAGCATCGGGCTCGGATGTGCTGCCAGAAAGTTGAGCAGAGTCTGGTGAGAATGCCTGCTAGCAGCTTCCACACCCCACTTAAAACCCAGACACCTGTGGTCCCCAGGGACACCTCTCAATGCACCCCAAAAGCGAGGCCACAGGGCATAGTGCTCTGGCTCTACACGCTCACTTGACTCTGCCCAGAGCCAGGGGACCAGCCTGGGCTGGGGGGTGGGGGCGGGGCAGGGAGGATCTAACACTCTTCTCATTCAAATTTAATATCCAGATAAACATTTGCATGTGTGCATAAAACATTCACTGTGGCAAAAGTAAAACTACTGAAAAAAAATTATGTGCCAACAAAAAGAAACTAGCTAAAAATACTGGTAAATCCATACTGCGGAGTACTATGAAGCAGTTAAAAAGAATGCAGATATATTATTCCATCGTACTGGCATGAAAACAACTCCAAGATATGTTACTGAGTGAAAAAAAAAAAAAAAACCCTACAGAATAATGTATCTAGTATGTACCAGTTACATAAAAAACAAAAGTCGACTAGCTCTATAGTTCATCAAGTTTATAAACACATAGGTAAATGAGAAAAATGCCTGGAAGGAAATATATCAATCGTGGAAGGAAATACATCAATTGTGGAAGGAAGGAAAGGAGGGAGGGAGGAAGGAAAGGAATTTTATATCTCTATGTTGTTTGATTTTTACAAGAAGCATGCATTTGCGTTCTTAAAAACACTAAAGTCTGTTTAACACACACACACTGTGGGGAAAATGTGTTAAAATGATCACTCTACTGGTGCAGGGTTCAGGATCCCTTTTCAAAGAGCTGTAACATCTGGGATCTTGTCTAATTCTTGCTACACTCCCTTGAGCGCAAGTACTCAAAACCCCTTTTATAGATTAAGAAACTGAACCCAGGGAAGTGAAACAAGCTCTTCAAGGTCACATACAGAACCGAAGGACAGAGGGGCCTCTGAACCTTGGACCGAAGCCCAGCTCTCTTTCTAACCTGTAGGGGTGGGCGTACACCAGGGCGGGGTGGGAAATGGTGCTTGGACGCTGGGCAGCAGCCCATTGTCAGCTCACAGAACCTCTGAAAAGCCCCTTCCGCGAAGGGAAACGGGGCTCAGGGGAGAAGGCAATGGAAGACGAGTGTGAAAGGAGGGCTGATGCACCGCCGCCCACGACAAAATCACACATCATGACGTACCGCCCACTGAGTGGGAGGGACCTGCCGAGTCACCCGGTAAATGACACGTAGGAAGGAGCCCCGCAGGGTGGCGTCCCCCAAGCCTGAGACTTCAGGCCTGTCTCACGGGGGCTGCTCACCCCGGGTTCTGGCTGCACTGTTTACAGCTGAGGGGTTCTGGGGACGCCTCTCTGCTCAGTCCCAGAGCGCTCTGTAACCAGGCCAGAAAGGGATCTGTGCTTCTCAGAGGGTTCTAGAACCTAAGGGGCAACAAACTTAAGCCCTAATACCCACCAGTGTGGTAAGTGCCTCCACCCCTCCGCTCTTTCACTGGCTGCTTTAGCACCAAGTGTCTGGAGGATGTGGGAAGGCAGGAGACCAGAGGGACCCAAGAAACACGGCTGGGTCCTGCCAATGACAGGCGGGAGGGATTCATATACAGGGAGGCATCAGCACCTACCAAAGGCAACACAGGCTGCGTGGACACATCTCAGCTGCAGAGAGCAGGCGTGGGCACTCGAGGATGCTCGGAGAAGAGGGCCTCGGCCAAACCACAGATCCTCTGTTCACTCTTACAGTGGGGAGCAAACCCACAAGGTTTGATCATCCAGGGACAAGAGCCTGGACCCTGGGAGTTCTGATCCCAGCTCTCCTCCCTTGCTCAAGTTTGTGAACCTCACTGGTCTCAGTTTCCCCATCGGTAAAATGGGTATTATTATACTTGCCTCTTGGGTATTATGGTATCTGGATCATAGGACATATAATAACAATAACATAATTAAATAAAACATAACAAGTACAGGGTATCCATAAAATCTGGAAACAGATTATATGAATATATGTATGTGTTCATATTTATTTATTCATCTGCTTTACTGGAAATGTCCCAGACAACACTGTGTACATCTGTCTGTTTCTAGACGTTCTGGACACTATATAAATATACTTTTATATAATCATAATTTTATATAAATGTATATAATAAAATATAGTAATAATATAATAAAATAAAATATACTAATCACTCACACAGTATGAGGGACCATGTCAAGAACTTACAGGTATTCTCTGCTTTAATGCTCAGAGGAGGCCCTGGAGGTGGATGCTATTATTAGCCCCATTTTACAGAGGCAGACACTAAGGTACAAAGAGCTGAAGAGACTTGCCTGCTTGCCAGGGTCACCCAGGGAATAACTGGTCTCAAACCAGTTTGAGACCCAGGTCATCTAACCTCAGAGTCTACTCATGCTGTTTTCCAGCTGTCTAACCCATCTACCTCTGCGGTGAAGACCCAATAAAAGGGACCAGTTCCGGGGCACAGAGGAGAGGCTCAGGAAATGGAGGGTCCTCTGAGTTCTGAGCTCCTGGAGGGGAGAAACCAGATCCAATGGGTTCACCACTGTATCTGGAATGGTAATATACAAGACGCAGGTTGGCAGTCAGTATTAGTGGGAGGGAAGGAAAGTATTTATTAGCCAAAGGCTGGCATCCTTGTCTTAAAAAAAAAGTCTCAGATTCCAGCGCCTTTCCTAGGAACATCCACCTCCTACGATGCCTGGGGCTGCCCAAACGGGGGCAAGGAGGGCCAGACCCACCCCGCTCTCCCCTCCACGGCACAGAACCCAGAATCCAAGAGGCCCAGGCGGCCACCCACCAACCAGGCCCAGGAGTGGCCTACCTTCCTCGGCGTCGTTCCTAAGCGAGGCCTCCAGCAGGGCCACGCTGGCCTCGAAGGACACCTTCTTTCGCCGGCCGCCCGTGCTGCGCTTCCGCTCATGCTTGCGCTTGCGATGCTGCAGGTCCTGCTCGTATTGCGCCCACTTCTTCAGCTGCTGGGCCCGGCGCTTCTGGGCGGCGCGCAGCCGCTCCAACGTGGGCACCTTCTCCAGCAGCTGCAGTTCAGTCAGCAGGTCCACGTGGCTGGCCATGGCCTCCGCGCCTCCCTGCGCCCTGGCTGGGGGCTAGCGCGGCGTGCCGGGGGCCGGGGCAGCATGCGGGCTCCTACGGGGCTGGGGCGGCATGCTGGGGCCTGTGGCAGGGAGCGGGAGAGACACAGATGGACATGCGTCACGCTCAGAACTCCAATCTAATGAGGTCACCCAGTCCCACCTTCCAAACGCTTTGCCCCCCTAATTTATTGTCTTCCTTCCTTCTTTTATGTCTTTTTAATTGAGATATAATTGACCTATAACATTGTGTAAGTTTCAACTGTACAACCGTGTTGATTTGACATACTTATATACTGCAATATGATTACCACTCTTAAGTTAACACCTCCATCACAGTCATACAATAATCCTTACTTTTGGTGGTCATATTATAATTTCATATAAGGTTGTTCTATTGTTACAACACACACAGGAGTTTATTGTTATAACATGGAAGGGGTTTATTGTTATTTTTAAAGAAGCGAGTACTGTATTTTAAATGTCTCTGTATTAATTTATAACTTGGTAAATATTGACAGATATAACCTACAGAAACATAAGCTCTTTGGGAACCTTATTCTGAAGAGTCCAGTGGTTAAGAATCCACCTTCCAATGCAGGGTACGCAGGTTTGATTCCTGGTTGGGGGACTAAGATCCCACATGCCACAGGGCAACTAAGCCCACGTGAGGCAACTGAAGAGAAGCTCGAGTGTGGCGATGAAGATCACCCATGCTGTGACTAAGACCTGATGCTCCTCAGTAGTGCTTTTGGTAAGGAACCTGCCTGCCAAAGCAGGAGATCTAAGAGATGCAGGTTCAAGCCCTGGGTCGGGAAGATCCCCTGGAGGAGGGCATGAAAACCCACTCCAGTATTCTTGCCTGGAGAATCCCATGGACAGATGAGCCTGGCGGGCTACAGTTCATTGGGCCGCAAAGAGTTGGACATGACTGAACGACAACAACCCCCACTTTATGGATGTGTCCCAGTTTGCTTACTCATTCATTCACTGAAGAACGTCTAAGTTGTCTCCAGCCCGCAGCTAATACATTCACGCACAGGTTTTTGTGTGAACATGAGTTTTCATTTCTCTGGAGTAAATGCCCAAGAGTACAGTTGCTGGGTTGTACAGTAATTACATGTTTAGTTTTATAAGAAACTGTCAAACTGCTTTCCAGAGTAGCTATACCATTTTTCATTCCCTCCAGCCATCTATGAGTGATCCAGTTTCTCTGCCAGAATTTGGCATGCTCGGTTTTTCAGCCACTTAGATAGATACTCCTTTTTAAAAGTAAGGAGCTCAGATGAGTTGAATTCACAACCATGCTGTATCATCATGATGGCAGGAATTCACTAGGAGCTAATGGACCACCTATTTACTTTTCCCCACTTCCTCAAGGAATCAAACAGTGAAACCTGCCCTGTGATGAGTCCTGGTTCAGAGATGGATCAAGAATCAGCTCTGCCTTCTAAGAAACACCACGTCTACTTGTCTGTCATGGTGTCATCTACCTGTAAATTAACCTGATCCTTCTGATGACCTAGTGAGACCAGGTACTATTCTGATCCCCATTTCAGATAAGGAAATTGAGGCACAGAGAGACTAATTAACCTACCGAATACCACACAGATAGAAAATGGATGAGCTCTGGAGAAGGAAATGGCAACCCACTCCAGTATTCTTGCCTGGAGAATCCCATGGACAGAGGAGCATGGCAGGCTACAGTCCATGGGGTCGCAAGAGTCAGACATGACTTAGCGACTAAACCACCGGAGAAAGACTACCCTCAATTTGGCAGCAAGTGACAACTGTCCTTAAGATTTCTTTTTTTTTTCCCCTGATAGAAAAAGAAAACACTTGGAAAATGAAAATAATAAATTTTCTATTCAAATGTAAAAAAAAAAATAAGAAAATGGATGAGCTGTTCTGGCTGGGGTTATCAGGAAAGGCTCTCCAAAGTAGGAGGCAACTGATTTGAATCTCCAAGGATGAGTAGGAGTTCACTCCCTGAGGAGGGCAGACACGAGGTGAGAAGGAGCTTCCCCATGTTCAAAGGTATGTAGAGGGGCTGAACACCATGAAGGGAATTCTGGGAGCCAACACACACAAACCTGGCTTGAGGGACTTCCCTGGTGGTCCAGTGGTTAAGAATCCACCTTGCAATGCAGGGGACGTGGGTTCAATCCCTGATCTAAGAAGTAAGACCCTACATTCTGTGGAGCAACTAAGTCTGTTCACTGCTACTACTGGAGCCTGAGCACTCCGGATCCCACGTGCCACAACTAGAGAACGCATGCGCAGCAGCAAAAGATCCCACATGATGCGATGAAGATCCTGTGCGCCACAACTGGGACTCGATGCAACCAAACAAATAAATATTAAAAAATAAAATAAAAACATGGCCAGAAGTGGATGGGGCTGCCCAGCCCAAGGGAATAGAAGTCTTGGAGGAAGCAGTGAGTAACTTGTGGTTCAAGGCCAGATAGCCAGAAAGTCCCCCATGGTCCACATCATGTTTGTTTGCTTGGTTGATTTGGGGTCCACGCTGTATTTTATGGTATTGTCATTCACGGCTAATATTTAAAACTTGAAGATTTGATATCCAAAATCAGATTTTCAGCCTTTCTTAAAACATCTCAGTGGCTGGCCATGCCAAGCTCACATGGCAACAATCAGCTGGTACTGAGTAGGACTGCCCTATTTGGATGGGGCACATCTCATTTTCCATAGTGCCCACTACCTCCCATTACGCCCATCTGACCTCCTTCACTAAGTGGCATCACTTGCTAGCTCCTATAGGACTTACCTGGTGGCCTGGTGATAAAGAATCTGCCCACTAATGCGGGAGACACAAGGGACGTGGGTTCGATCCCTAGGTCAGGAAGATATCCTGGAATAGGAAATTGCAACCCATTCCAATATTCTTGACTGGGAAATCCCATGGACAGCAGACTACAGTCCATGGGGTCACAAGAGTTGGACACGACTTAGTGACTAAACCACCACCACCACCACCACCATTAGCTCCTATGATCATTTCAGTTTGCAAGCCCTGCCTTAGGTGAAATATCCACAGGTTCAATATACACAAGAAAGAGAAGGCAGTCTGTGAGTCTCCTCAATAAAGACCAGGATCAACGTACAAGGGAGTGGTGGTGTGCACCCAAAAACAGGCACCTGGCCTCCAGAGCTGTCCAACAAGCAACTGAACAAGGGCTTGTGGTCCAGTGACTGTCTCTGGAGGTGGCAAATTCTCCATCACTCACTGGAGAATAAAATTTTCACTGATGTCAGATCAGCCTAAGTATTCTGTCAGCCGTAAGAGTCTGTACACAGATGGTTACCCATTTATTCATTATTGAGTATTCACTGATCACCTACTAACTGAGAAGTGACAAAACATGCAATAAACTGCGGAAAATTGTGAAAGAGATGGGAATACCAGACCACCTGACCTGACTCTTGAGAAACCTGTATGCATGGACATGGAACAACAGACTGGTTCCAAATAGGAAAAGGAGTACGTCAAGGCTGTATATTGTCACCCTGCTTATTTAACTTATATACAGAGTACATCATGAGAAATGCTGGGCTGGAGGAAGCACAAGCTGGAATCAAGATTGCCAGGAGAAATATCAATTACCTCAGATATGCAGATGATACCACCCTTATGGCAGAAAGTAAAGACGAACTAAAGAGCTTCTTGATGAAAGTGAAACAGGAGAGTGAAAAAGTTGGCTTAAAGCTCAACATTCAGAAAACTAAGATCATAGCATCCGGACCCATCACTTCATGGCAAATAGATGGGGAAACAGTGGAAACAGTGGCTGACTTTATTTTTCTGGGCTCCAAAATCACTGCAGATGGTGACTGCAGCCATGAAATTAAAAGACACTTACTCCTTGGAAGGAAAGTTATGACCAGCCTAGACAACATATTAAAAAGCAGAGACATTACTTTGTCCACAAAGGTCCATCTAGTCAAGGCTATGGTTTTTCCAGTGGTCATGTATGGATGTGAGAATTGGACTATAAAGAAAGCTGAGCGCCAAAGAATTGATGTTTTTGAATTGTGGTGTTGGAGAAGACTCTTGAGAGTCCCTTGGACTACAAGGAGATCCAACCAGGCCATCCTAAAGGACATCAGTCCTAGGTGTTCATTGGAAGGACTGATGTTGATGTTGAAACCCCAATACTTTGGCCACCTGATGCGAAAAGCTGACTCATCTGAAAAGACCCTGATGCTGGGAAAGATTGAGGATAGGAGGAGAAGGGGACGACAGAGGACGAGATGGTTGGATGGCATCACCAACTCAATGGACATGGGTTTGGGTGGACTCCAGGAGTTGGTGACAGACAGGGAGGCCTGGCGTCCTGCAGTTCATGGGGTTGCAAAGAGTCAGACACGACTGAGCAACTAAACTGAACTAAAAAACATGCTAAGACTAAAGATAGGAATAGTCACATCAATCTCTATTAAAGCCTTTAATCCTTTTCTAAGAACCTCCCCAGCCATTGTCCCAGCCAGGTGTTTCCCTAAGTGTAGAAAGAGAACCCATTCCAAGGGAATTTACAAAAAAGTTCAGGACAAGACTTAATAAAACATGGACTCAAAGACAGCAAGTTACCTCCTTTTCACTTGTTTTTTTAATAATCTATCCATTTTTTCTTCAGAAGAAAGTTGTCAGTTGGGTGCTAATAGATCTTTAACATTTTTATAACCATTGCAATTTCCCTTATAAACAAAGAGAAAGTCAGCCTCGGGCTTATAGCCTTGGACAAGCGATAGTATTTACAACAGAATGTAATGACAATGATTTTTTCCCCTGCAGATCTGGTTTCACAGTTACTGTTTATTTATGGTGGTGATGTAAAATTTCCTTTTTAAATAAATCTTCTTTATTTCCCTTGGAAATCCTGCAAGGTAGTAGCAAAGAAAAATTAAAGAATGATGGCATTTAATGCTGGCAAAAATTGTGATTGACGTTTGGGAATCCCTCATCTGGCCACTGATCCTCAATGACAACAATCTGACAAAAGAATGCCTCTTAAGAGCTCATTATTTCAGCTGACAAATATTCATTGAACGTCTGTCACGTGCC